CTACCATCAATTAAAGTAATGCGGTAACCCTATCCCATTATGCTGGGGCTACTGTAGCCTTCCTGAAAGGTTGTTAACCAATAATGTGGCAAAGGGAGGAATCTAGGTTAATTCAGCGCTTTCAAAAATCCTAACTTTCCTGGGCCCTTTAGCGACTTTTGAACATGGTTGGTGGGGGGTCTTCATCAGCCGGCCTGTCAACCTGGGCCTGACGCTGGTACTAGAACCATTTTTGCAATTTTTGCAAGGCATGGTTAACCTCGGCAGGGATCGAACTCGCGGTTTTCAGGAGGTGCAGACATGAGTCTAACCTCTTAACCACTCGGCTATCCCTGCCTGGGCCCTATGAACTCATTCCATCAAATGGTTAAAGTATGACCACAGTGCCTGGAAGAGCTAAGCATTAAGGTTACCAATGATTCTTCAAAAGCCATCATATTCAGGTTTCGATATGATGTCAGCAGCAGTGAATCCAATGTGTCCACCAGAATTCTACCATCCCGGTATCACGTGGCCCGGTTACCAATACGGCCAACAGTATCCGTTCGCCACCGGACCTTATGCACAACATATGATGGACATTCCTGGCCTTACAGGTTCGTTCCTTTTCAGGTTTGAAGCAATTGCAGCTTTAAATGGCGCCAAATTTACAAAAAAAAACTAAAACAAATTTAATTCTTGCAACTTAATATAGGTTTTCGCTTGCGAATCCTTCAGCTAGTTGGTGCAAATCAATGGCGAGCTAGTCATTGGAACACAAAGCTATAAAGTCAGAAAGTCAACTGAGAAATGGTTCATGAAATGAGGGAGCACAGAACATTCGGGTAGGAAAGGATATAAGAAAGGGTGCAGGAAACCGTTCTTTACTGTGAATGCGTGAGGCAGAAAAGCAGTCCGCCCAGAGCTTCTCAAACCTCACCATTACCTGGAAGTGACCAAATGAGCAATTCAGTCAGGTGTCTCACGATTTTGATTGAAAGAATTTCGAGGCTCAGCTCAGAAAGCCGCTGAAGTCGACAATCGATGAACTTGAAGGAATTAATTGAAATTTATCAAGAAAGGTATTGGTAGGGATTCTTCAGAGGACCAGGGCTCCATGCAGAGAAGATGAGAGCCCAAGTTTTGTCGACGACGTTGACTTGATGCTGGTGTTGGCCGGGTGGGAGACGAGCAAATAACCGAATCGATATCGCCTCGCCGTACCATTTACGATGGTCATGAAACTGCCCCGTCCCCGTCTATTTCCACACACACACCACATCACCACTACCCTCATCAACGCTCGTCCTCATGTCAACGCCACATAGGAAAGTCCAAGTTTTCTCCTGTACGGGTCTGTATTCGTGTGCAGTACTCCTAGTACACCAGCACTAATACTCGGACCCGTCTATTCATGAGCGGGTACTGTACCTACCGTAATCGTGTGGATAGCGCGACGTGTCACCGGCGTGATGTCGGTCGCTTTCAAGTTGTC